TATACGCATGTCAACACAAAGACGAATTTGGTCGGGATTGTTGGGTTTTGGGAAACAAACAATGGGAGATACCCAGGACGTGGGGCCTGTTACACTTTCAATAATATCTAATGATTCAAGACGTCGCAGTTCTTCTGATAGTTTGGTTCTCATTGTAAATGGGATTCTGCGGGCTTTTTGAATAGTGGGTTGGACAGTTTTATCAATGTGTAAATGAACTTTGTAATCTGGGACTTTTCCGATTCCTTGGAATAAATGATCATATTTCGAAAATAAGGTTCTCAATCTTTTAGGTCTAGACTTGGTATTTGCTGGAGCATTTTTTTTAGGTTGATGGGTTTCAGGTTGAGATGTAACAAATGCAATTTTGTTTAGCTTTAATAACCCAAGATCAATTGCAGTGTTTCCACTTATTAGACATCCAGCATCAGTGTTTATCACATAAAATTGGGCTGTGGTAATTTTTGTTCCTGATTCAACTGAAGCTTCGAAATACCCTTTGATGTCGAGGGGTGTTTTAGTGGCAAAAGCAAAAAGTTTTATTTTGCTTTTCATCAAGTGGATGTTGTTCTGACGTGTTAATTTCTCAAAACTAGTATTATCGATAATGTTTACACTGGCACCAGAATCAATGTTTACACGAATAGCTATGTCATTGATTTTAATATGGGTGTAGAAATATAGGTTTTCGACAGTCACTGTTAACTTCATTAACAGTTCCTCCTGTGGGTGAAGTGGTGATAGATGTTAAAACGACTTTGTTAGTATCAGGGGTTTGTTTTTTTATTGTGTAAACATATTCATCTGAGCTTGAATTCGTACCTTGTTCGTCTATTTGTTTTACTTGGGATCTTCGTTCATTGGATTTCTGAGGAAACTTACTTTCGCGCTGTCCAGCTGAAATTCTCGATTTACAACATCGTGCAAAATGATTTTGCTTGTGACAATGGTTGCATGTTTTCCCTTTTGCCGGACAAACATTCACATGTGGCCAGTTTAATCCACAAAAGAAACATATTTTCTTAGGCGTTGTAGCAGCCGGATTTCGTCTTACGGCGTGGATATCTTTCATTGGTGTTTCATTCATATTTTGCTCAATTCCGCTCGCATCCTCTTCAACAGTTTCAAGCGTCCGTCCATAGTCTAAGAGTTCAGCCAAAGTCAGTTTTGGTTTACGGAAAGCATATCGTCGAAGTTGTTTGGAATTGGTCCCTAGCTCAATTTGAGCTTTTATCTCAGTATCTAAGTTTGAGAATTCACAGTACTTAGCTTTCTGGACGAGTCGTACATGGTATTGATCGAGAGTTTCGTCAACAAGTTGGTTTGTTTTCCTGAACTTGAATATTTCAAACGATGTATTCTTGCGAAGTTTAAAGTGTTCATTTAAAGCTTGACACGCTTCTTCATAGTCGTCTTCTGTGCCTGTCTCTGGCAGTGTTTCAAAGATATTTAGAGTACTTTCACCAATATAGTATAATAATAACGCTCGTTTTCTTTTCTTGTCTTTTATATCGAGTGCAATCAGTAGATTTTCGAATAGCATGAACCATCGTTGCCATCTAATTTCGATATTTTCCCGATTCTCGGCGTCAAAAGAAGCAAATTCTGGTAAGCTAGTCGCCATTTGAGGTACTTGTATATGAAACGATCCTCGTCGCCAATATAATGTTGTCTATAACATTGTTATCTATGCTTTCTTTAATAATCTCTAACAGAACATATCTTACAGTTGCATCTATATCGCCATCTTGCTTACTTCCTCGTGGTCCATAATTAATGTTCATTATGCTAATTACGCTAGACACTACACATACTAAACCAGAACAGTGTTATATATTCAGTTAGTATATCATATTTTACAAATATAGCAGTTCGTAATGTAAACAAAGCGTTTGTTTACATTACGGACTTGACAGCACCTTTAACGAAGGTAACTTTGTTTTAACTATTGATTTTATCACAGGCGGCCCAATCTCCAATCTCGCAAGGGTCAGTATAGACTTGCTTCAAGTCTCTCTTTCATTGTCATATAGTATCGATCCACTAAAGTGTACATTACATGACGTAGTACGGAGGGGCGGAGCGAGAAAGAGAGACTTGTAAACTTCGGAAAATCTCGGTTCAAAACTGAACCGAAAATGCAAGACTTGCTTTAATTGTTTTCTGTCAGTGTTTATATGTATTGATCCATCACAGTGTAAATAACATGAGTTCCATAATAGCGAATAATGCAGAAAGAAATTGAAGGAAAACAATTAAAGATTTTCCGAAGTTGACAAGTCTCTCTTTCTCGCTCCGCCTCTCCGTGCTACGTCATGTAATGTACACTATAGTGGATCGATACTATATGACAATGAAAGAGAGACTTGGAGCAAGTCTAGGGTCAGTATAGTCTTATCGTATAAATGTATATTATATTAATGTATATTATAGTAAAAATATGTCGTAAAATATAAATTTTAAAATGAAATTGACTTGCCTATTTGATAATGTGTGTTCTCCTTTTATTCCTCCTTTGTTGGACTAATATTTTCCGAGACTTTGTACTCGATGTTACTAGTATACATGAAACATGATAAAGGCTAATGCATGAGTCAATTCCTGGAGTAACCATCCCCCCCCCCGGGACACCCCCGGGAATTTGCCCGATAAACAGTTCACGGGGGTCGGGAATTTGCCTTTCATATATGTGCACTGGGGCCGGGTATTGGAGGACCCCTGGGATTTGACAAATAGTTGACCAAAATCCCACCCACAAATTTTAAGGCAGCAAAATCTAGTTTCAGGCACGCATGTGGGCGCGCTGATCGTATTTTGTGCCCTCGTGGTCAAGGTGGCGTGAAATTTATTGTAAGAATAAGCGAAAATTTTACCTGTGCCATGCAAATTTAAATACAACTATTAAAGGTTTATGTTTTATAATATTCCATAGCAGTTTAATACTATAATGTTATTAAATGACTATGATTATATGCCATTAAAAATTTAACGTTTACAGTCGATTTCACGAAACTTTGACCACAAATTTTCCGAACTTCGTTGCGAAGTTCACAAGATTGTTGCGAAGTTCAAAAGTTCATAATGAGATTCACAAACCAGTTCGTAAGCTACGCATTTGATTGGCTTCTTTTACTTCACGGACCAATCAGGGACTTTGTTTACAAATTGGCTTGTGAATTCCA